TTGTTTCTAGATTTTTTGATAATGGCCATTCTGACTGGTATGAGATGATATCTCATTGTAGTTTTGATTTGCATTTCTCTAATGATTAATGATGTTGAGCATTCTTTCATGTGTTTGTTGGCAGTCTGTATATCTTCTTTGGAGAAATGTCTATTTAGATCTTCTGCCCATTTTTGGATTAGGTTGTTTGGTTTTTTGTTATTGAGCTGAATGAGCTACTTGTAAATTTTGGAAATTAATCCTTTGTCAGTTGCTGAATTTGCAAATATTTTCTCCCATTCTGAGCGTTGTCTTTTGGTCTTGTTTATGTTTCCTTTGCTGTGCAAAAGCTTTGAAGTTTCATTAGGTCCCATTTGTTTATTTTTGTTTTTATTTCCATTTCTCTAGGAGGTGGGTCAAAAAGGATCTTGCCGTGATTTATGTCATAGAGTGTTCTGCCTATGTTTTCCTCTAAGAGTTTGATAGTGTGTGGCCTTACAATTAGGTCTTTAATCCATTTTGAGCTTATTTTTGTGTCTGGTGTTAGGGAGTGGTCTAATCTCATACTTTTACATGTAGCTGTCCAGTTTTCCCAGCACCACTTATTGAAGAGGCTGTCCTTTCTCCACTGTACATTCCTGCCTCTGTTTATCAAAGATAAGGTGACCATATGTGCGTGGGTTTATCTCTGGGCTTTCTATCCTGTTCCATTGCTCTTTCTGTTTTTGTGCCAGTACCATACTGTCTTGATTACTGTAGCTTTGTAATATATTCTGAAGTCAGGGAGCCTGATTCCTCCAGCTCCGTTTTTCGTTCTCAAGATTGCTTTGGCTATTCGGGGTCTTTTGTGTTTCCATATAAATTGTGAAATTTTTTGTTCTAGTTCTGTGAAAAATGCCAGTGGTAGTTTGATAGGGATTGCATTGAATCTATAGATTGCTTTGGGTAGTAGAGTCATTTTCACAATGTTGATTCTTCCAATCCAAGAACATGGTATATCTCTCCATCTATTTGTAGCATCTTTCATTTCTTTCATCAGTGTCTTATAATTTTCTGCATACAGGTCTTTTGTCTCCTAGTTAGGTTTATTCCTAGATATTTTATTCTTTTTGTTGCAGTGGTAAATGGGAGTGTTTTCTTGATTTCACTTTCAGATTTTTCATCATTAGTGTATAGGAATGCCAGAGATTTCTGTGCATTAATTTTGTATCCTGCTACCTTACCAAATTCATTGATTAGCTCTAGTAGTTTTCTGGTAGCATCTTTAGGATTCTCTATGTATAGTATCATGTCATCTGCAAACAGTGACAGCTTTACTTCGTCTTTTCCGATTTGGATTCCTTTTATTTCCTTTTCTTCTCTGATTGGTGTGGCTAAAACTTCCAAAACTATGTTGAATAAGAGTGGTGAGAGTGGGCAACCTTGTCTTGTTCCTGGTCTTAGGTTTCACCATTAAGGATGTTGTTGGCTGTGGGCTTGTCTGGCTGTGGGCTTGTCATATACGGCCTTTATTATATTGAGGAAAGTTCCCTCTACACCTACTTTCTGCAGGGTTTTTATCATAAATGGGTGTTGAATTTTGTCAAAAGCTTTCTCTGCATCTATTGAGATGATCATATGGTTTTTCTCCTTCAATTTGTTAATATGGTTAATCACATTGATAGATTTGCGTATATTGAAGAATCCTTGCATTCCTGGAATAAACCCCACTTGATCATGGTGTATGATCCTTTTAATGTGCTGTTGGATTCTGTTTGCTAGTATTTTGTTGAGGATTTTTGCATCTATGTTCATCAGTGATATTGGCCTGTAGTTTTCTTTCTTTGTGACATCCTTGTCTGGTTTTGGTATCAAGGTGATGGTGGCCTCGTAGAATGAGTTTGGGAGTGTTCCTCCCTCTGCTATATTTTGGAAGAGTTTGAGAAGAATAGGTGTTAGCTCTTCTCTAAATGTTTGATAGAATTCGCCTGTGAAGCCATCTGGTCCTGGGCTTTTGTTTGTTGGAAGATTTTTAATCACAGTTTCAATTTCAGTGTTTGTGATTGGTCTGTTCATATTTTCTATTTCTTCCTGATTCAGTCTTGGCAGTTTGTGCATTTCTAAGAATTTGTCCATTTCTTCCAGATTGTCCATTTTATTGGCATAGAGTTGCTTGTAGTAATCCCTCATGATTTTTTGTATTTCTGCAGTGTCAGTTGTTACTTCTCCTTTTTCATTTCTGATTCTATTGATTTGAGTCTTCTCCCTTATTTTCTTGATGAGTCTGGCTAATGGTTTATCAATTTTGTTTATCTTCTCAAAGAACCAGCTTTTAGTTTTATTGATCTTTGCTATTGTTTCCTTCATTTCTTTTTCATTTATTTCTGATCTGATTTTTATGATTTCTTTCCTTCTGCTAACTCTGGGGTTTTTTTGTTCTTCTTTCTCTAATTGCTTGAGGTGCAAGGTTAGGTTGTTTATTCGAGATGTTTCCTGCTTCTTAAGGTGGGCTTGTATTGCTATAAACTTCCCTCTTAGAACTGCTTTTGCTGCATCCCATAGGTTTTGGGTCGTTGTATCTCCATTGTCATTTGTTTCTAGGTATTTTTTAATTTCCTCTTTGATTTCTTCAGTGATCACTTCGTTATTAAGTAGTGTATTGTTTAGCCTCCATGTGTTTGTATTTTTTACAGCTCTTTTCCTATAATTGATATCTAGTCTCATGGCGTTGTGGTCGGAAAAGATACTTGATACAATTTCAATTTTCTTAAATTTACCAAGGCTTGATTTGTGACCCAAGATATGATCTATCCTGGAGAATGTTCCATGAGCACTTGAGAAAAATGTGTATTCTGTTGTTTTTGGATGGAGTGTCCTATAAATATCAATTAAGTCCATCCTGTTTAATGTATCATTTAAAGCTTGTGTTTCCTTATTTATTTTCATTTTGGATGATCTGTCCATTGGTGAAAGTGGGGTGTTGAAGTCCCCTACTATGAATGTGTTACTGTCGATTTCCCCTTTTATGGCTGCTAGTTTTTGCCTTATGTATTGAGGTGCTCCTATGTGTTGGGTGCATAAATATTTACAATTGTTATATCTTCTTGGATCGATCCCTTGATCATTATGTATTGTCCTTCTTTGTGTCTTCTAATAGTCTTTATTTTCAAGTCTATTTTGTCTGATATGAGAATTGCTACTCCAGCTTTCTTTTGGTTTCCACTTGCATGGAGTATCTTTTTTCCATCCCCTTACTTTCAGTCTGTATGTGTCTCTAGGTCTGAAGTGGGTCTCTTGTAGACAGCATATATATGGGTCTTGTTTTTGTATCCATTCAGCTCTCTCTCGTTTTATAATGATTGCATTTGAGATGCTGGGTTTATCCATGAGTGTGGTCTTTTTAATTTTGCAGTATTACAGAAACAGGGAATCAGTATTTATTGAACAGGTCCCTTGTCTGATGCCACACTGAGTATTTCACATCCTTCCTCATTTGTAAAATGCAGACTCCTGCTTTGCAACTCTGTCGGGAGACCACTGTGAATGAAGCATCTAGTCCTCGGTGAGGGTTTGGTAACAGCAGCCAGGGCACCAATGGCTTTCTCATTTGACTCCCATTTTATATATGAAGAAACTGAGGTTCAGCAAAGTAAAGAAAGTTGCTCAAGGTCACCCAGGGAACAGTGCAGGCAGGATTCCACACCAGGCTCGGTTCACCAGGCTCTCAGCACACCTACCCCTCCTCTGCCCATCATGCGGGTAAACCAGGGGTAAACGACGAAGAAGCTGCAGCTGTGCTGGGTCTAGAAAGCTGAGCCACACTGTCTTTTTTACCCCGTCCAAAAACCTGATGGCCTCCACCCTCTTCTTTAATTCCTGAGTGGAGGATCTCCAGCTAGCCTCCACTGAGACCTTGAGTTCCCTTTTCCAGTAGGTGAGGGGACAGCTAAAGCCACTGAAGTGCCCCAAGTTGCTTTGACACTGGGAGAGTTGCTCCCTCCAGGGCCCTGTGGAGAGCTGCCCTTCCTGCTGGTGTTGGGAGAGACCCCAGGTTCTGAGCAGCCAAGGGTGGGGCATAGGGTCAGCTGGATGCCTCCATCGCAAGGGCCTGAGCCTGAGCGCCCTGCCCTGGCCATCAGAGAGGGCTGGTTATGTGCAGAGAAGATGGTGGGAGGAGGCCTGGTGAGGTGGGCTGGCTGACTTGTTTGCAGACACGCACACCTTTGTTTGCCCCTTGGCAAGCTCTACCAGGAAACTGGCCAGCAGTATACGAAGGGCTGACAGGTCTCACAAGATACAGGACTCCACGTGTTCATGGCTGTTGAGTAGATGAATCTACTTTGCGGCCCTGCTCTCTGGGGACTTATTTGTCAATGTGAAAAGAAATGATACAGGAACAGTTACCAAATTATACAAATCCACACAATGGAAATCCAGGAAGAGATGCACAGAGAGGATGCTCAGAATAATCCTGTGGGCTCCTGGTAGCAGGAAAACCTAGCGGCTGCTTGGGGTCTTCCAGAATCAGTCTGTGTGTTAGCCAGGGAGTGGGCAAAGACCTGAATAATGCACATCCTCTATCCTGTACAGCACATGGCTGGACTTGAACCTGGAGCTCAGAATCTACACTGACTTCTGAGAGATGACATTTCACAAGGAAAGCATGGTTATGCTTGTAAAAGTTTCCTCTAATAAATGCATCCTATTCTTTTTTGGTTGTTTATAAACTCCTAATGAAACAGTGCTGTTGGTACCAGGATGGCTGATCATTTGACGTAAGGATCCTGAGTCCTTATCTCTTGGCACAGATTGCTTATGCATTTATTGCCTATTTGGTCAGTTACATATACACCCTTTTGACATCTGCCTTGCTGTTAGCAATAAAACCTGAAGAATGAGGGCAGCTTTCCTGGCTCATATTTTAAACACCTGTTTAAGAAGTAACCTCTACCCCTCAAAGACAAAGAGAGTGATGTCTTGGGTAGCACACTGGGAGATAAAGGAATGAAAGATGCTCATGGCTTTTCTCCCTCTTTTCTAAGGATTTATTGAAGGGTAAATCAGAGCCTCACTTCATCCTGGAAGGTGTGAGCAGTTTCGACATCCAACAGGGGGAGGCAGGTAAGAACTCAACCTCTTCCTTCCCAGCCCTGGATTGACGCAGGCTGCCCAAAGTCAGCCGCAGAGTAGGGGGGTGGTCAAGAGCAGTACCCATCCAGACCCACTGAATGCTGCCCCATCTTCTGAGGAGGCAAGGCTGGCACCCTCGGTGTTGCTGTGGACGGACTATTCACGCCCAGACCCTCAGCCTGGAAGTCGGCTCAGTAGCGGGTGTGCAGAGCCCTTTGGGGAGAGCAATTATCAAAGAAAAGGAGCAAATAGATACGGAGTTTAATCTGAGCACTGAGTAGAGAGAAGCATCAGGGAAGCAAACGTTAATTGAACTTCTGCAAGGCTATGCTAGATACTTTGTATGTGCTATTTCCGTAAAACCATTACTCCCATCACCACCTCTACCCCCATCACTCCCATCACCACCATCACCCCATCACCACCTCTACCCCATCACCACCCCCACCCCCATCACTCCCATCACCACCACCACCCCATCACTACTCCACCCCATCACCACCTCCACCCCATCACCAACCCCACCCCCATCACTCCCATCACCACCTCCACCCCCATCACTCCCATCCCCACCACCTCCACCTCATCACTACTCCCCCCCATCACCACCCCCACCCCCATCACTCCCATCACCACCACCACCCCATCACTACTCCACCCCATCACCACCTCCACCCCATCACCAACCCCACCCCCATCACTCCCATCACCACCTCCACCCCCATCACTCCCATCCCCACCACCTCCACCTCATCACTACTCCACCCCATCACCACCCCCACCCCCATCACTCCCATCACCACCACCACCCCCATCACTCCCATCACCACCACCACCCCATCACTACTCCACCCCATCACCAACCCCACCATCACTCCCATCACCACCTCTACCCCATCACCAGCCCCACCCCCATCACTCCCATCACCACCTCTACCCCCATCACCCCTTTCACCACTACCACTATCTCCATAACCACTACCATCACCTTCTCTATTTTGCTTGGAACTGAACCCAGTGAATCTTTCTTCCAGTTCTCCTCTCTCAGACAGAAAAAAATGCGTTATTCAGAAGGAGGTATGCTGACTCTGTGCAGTACATGGGATGGGGCTTCCAGTTGTGTCCAGTCAGCTCTCATGGCTTATGTCCCCTCCCAGGAGATTGCTGGTTCCTGGCAGCACTGGGCTCCTTGACACAGAACCCACAGCATCTGCAGAAGATCCTAATGGACCAAAGCTTTTCATACCAATATGCAGGGATTTTCCATTTTCCGGTAAGTGTGCTGCTGGGATGCTCCTTAAATGGGATTCTCTGTGAGCACAGGAAGGCGACTGTCATGAAAGTTCTGTTGGTCTGGCAGCCCGAGATGTGGAAAAGACACTTATGTGTTAGTTACTCTGTGTTGGCTCGTGATCTGACGACACATAGGGAGGGTGAGAGTTAAAATGTTTTCATATAAATATAAAGAATGGCAGAAACAATCAGCAAAGAGAAGAGTCATTCATCAGGAGCCCTGTATGTCACTGAGATTTTGTCTGTCTATTCCTGTGCCATATCTTATTGTTTTGGTTACAGTAGTTTTAGAATGAGTTGTAATATCTGGTGGCATAGGTTCTCCTTCATTATTCATTATGCTTGCCCCCAAAATATTTTATCTTGGTGATTCTTGCACATTTATTCTTCTATGAGAATTTTTAAATCATTGTGTCTATTTAAAAAGAAAAGCCGGGCTTTCCTGGTGGCGCAGTGGTTGAGAGTCCGCCTGCAGATGCAGGGGACGCGGGTTCGTGCCCCAGTCTGAGAGGATCCCACATGCCGCGGAGCGGCTGGGCCCATGAGCCATGGCCACGGGACCTGCGCGTCTGAGCCATGGCCGCTGAGCCTGCGCGTCCGGAGCCTGTGCTCCGCAACGGGAGAGGCCACAACAGTGAGAGGCCCGCGTATCGGGAAAAAAAAAAAAAAAAGAAAAGCCACTGTGATGCAGAATAGAGCAGCATTAAATTTATGTATTAATTTGGAAAAATCAAACTTTTATCATTGTAGTTATTCCTTTCCAGAAAGACAGTATATCTTTCCATTTATTTGGAACTAGTTTTATGCCCTTCAGTAAAATGTTATGGTTATGTTTTGATATTCATGCTATACCCTTCTTGGTAAATGTATTCTCAGATATTTTACAAGTTTGTAGCTAATATGAATGATTTTTCTAACTAGACATTGCTAAAAAGAGGAAAGCTATTCCTTGTTTTATATTAAGTTGTATCTAGCCACCTTACCAAATTCTTTTATTAGTTCTAATTTTTTTCTTTAGTAGTGTCTGGATTTTTTTTAGTTATCTAATATTATCCACAAAGATAATTTTGTCTCTTCTTTTAATATTTATAGAGCTTATTTTGCTCTTTTGCCTTGTTGCATTAATTAGAAGGTTGCAATTTTGAGTAAGAGTGACAAGAGCAAAATCCTGCTGTCTCTTGGTTTTAGTGACATACTTTCCTGGTTTGTCATTCTTTTAATCCACTGTTAGATTAAATTTGCTAAAAATTTTATTAGAATTTTTTTTTAATTAATTAATTTATTTATTTATTTTTGGCCATGTTGGGTCTTCGTTTCTGTGCGCGGGCTTTCTCTACTTGTGGCAAGCGGGGGCCACTCTTCATCGCGGTGCGCGGGCCTCTCACTGTCGCGGCCTCTCCCGCTGCGGAGCACAGGCTCCAGACGCGCAGGCTCAGTAGTTGTGGCTCACGGGCCCAGCCACTCCGTGGCATGTGGGATCCTCCCGGACCAGGGCTCAAACCCGTGCCCCCTGCATCAGCAGGCGGACTCCCAACCACTGCGCCGCCAGGGAAGCCCCTTATTAGAATTTTTACATCTATATCACATGTAGAATTGGCTTCCCGTTGTTTGTTGTTTTTACTATGGAGTTATGCTTGCTTTTTAATATGAACCTATTGAGATTTACTTTGATCTGAAATAATTTGTATAATGGCTGTTAATCATTGATTATCTGTTCTTTAAAAGTAAAATAGGCAATAGTTAAATCATCTGGACCTATTTCCTTTTTAAATATGATTTCTTAAACTCTTCTGATGTGTTCAGTAGCTGTTGATCTGCTTGGGCCTCTTATTTCTTCTAGAGTTAATTCTTGAAATTTATATTTTGCCAAGAGAACCAACTGTTTCTTCTGTAGTTCCAAATTTATTGCACCAAAGTTGCTTATATAATTCTCTGAAAATTTATTTTATTTCTTCTAATTTGTGATTAAGTCAACTTTATTAATCCCTAAACTATATTTTTATTTTTCCTTTTTTTATTAATCCAGCTCTTCTTAATCCAACCAATCTACTGTATTAGTTTTTGAATGACTCAACTTTCAATTTTCACTGTTCTTTCTATTCTTTTTCTTTTAGGGTTTTGATTTCCATATAATTAATTTCAATTTATTTTGATTAATTCCCATTTACTTTCTCTTGGTCAATTTTATTGGTTTTTTGTTTTCTGAAACTATACACTTAATATTCTTTCTTTTTTTCTTCATGATAAAAGATGTAAGACTAAAATTTTCCTTCTCAGATCTTTTCTGTATCCATCGATTTTCATATCAAATGTCTTTTATTAATTTTAAGTTAATATGTTTTTAGCTTTTTTATGATGTTTTTAGTTTTGATTAAGTTTTATAGGGGATCATCTCTTGGTTGTAGAATTTTAGACTTACTAGATGATGATCAGAGAATATAATTCATAAACTCTCACATTTGGGGAAATTATTAAAGTTTTATTCATGGCCAGGTCCCCAAGAGTTTTTTGTTTTGTTTTTGTTTTTGTTTTTGTTTTGGGGTTTTTTTTTTGTGGTACATGGGCCTCTCACTGTTGTGGCCCCTCCCGTTGCGGAGCACAGGCTCCGGACGCGCAGGCTCAGCGGCCATGGCTCACGGGCCCAGCCGCTCCACAGCATGTGGGATCTTCCCGGACCGGGGCACGAACCTGTGTCCCCTGCATCGGCAGGCGGACTCTCAACCACTGCGCCACCAGGGAAGCCCCCACAACAGTTTTTATAGATGCTTCATGGACATATGAGAAGAGTATATATTATCCATGATAATATATCCATAATATATGGAATCAAGCTCTCTGATTCGCAGATTGTATAATCTGCAATTATCTCTTCTATCTTGGCTTATTTTTTGTCTATTTGATTTGACATATTCTAAAAGAAGTGAGTTAAAGTTCTTCCCCAAAGTTATAGTTTGGAGGGTTCCTCATGTTCTGGTTTTATACTTTTCCTGCTCTATTCTTTGGTGCCCAGATATTTATGTTCTTGCTCTCCAGTCGTTGCAATAAAGCTTACACAATATCCCTCTTTGCTATATTTAATGCTTCTGAACTTGAATTCCTCTTTATCCGATATTCACATTGCTACTCCAGCTTCCTGTTACTTACATTTCCCTATTATATCTTGCTCATCCTTTCACTATCAATTTCATTTTCACTATGTTACCAGTATATTTCTTGTCCAAGGCATATTCAAAACTCATTACTCACCATTGTTTCTTTCAGCCTTCATTTCCTCTTAAGATTTTTGTTCTAATTTCATCCACATTTGTTAGGAGTAGTTCCTTGAATAGTTTCCTCAGATTACATGAGTATTTTTCATTTGCTCTTACTTAAGAACAATATTTTGGTTGGGTTTAGGATTTTTGGATTACATTCCTTTTCCTCAAGAATCTGTAAACGTTTCTCCATTGTCTTGTACCTTCCCCAATGTTGCAGAAGAAAAATCCAATGCTAATCTATTCTCTTGACCTTGTATGCAACATATTCTCTCAAATTGCAAGTTTATATGAGGCGATCTCTCTCCTTGGTTCAGAAATTTCTCTAGAAATGTCCAGATGCATGAATTCCAGGCAAGATTAATCTTGCCTGGAATTCAGTGAGCACTTTCATTCTGAAGACCTGCCTCCTTTTTCTGCTCAGCTGTTTCCCTCCATTTTTTCTGGGTGTCCTCCTTTATCCTGTTCTCTCTTCCTGAAGTCCAATTATTTGCATGCTAGGTCTTCTAACAAGCTCCCAGATGATGCTGACGTTGCTGGTCCAAGGGTCACACTGAGGAGTTAGCCAGAGGGTGCAGTGTTTAGCTGTGTCTGGGCTCACCTCAGGGGTGCAAGTGTTGATGGGGTGAGAGGTAGTTAGGACAAACTGAGGCCCAGGCTGGACATGCTTTGCCCTTCTGGGTGGTGAAGATAGTCCCACAATTCCCCAGAAATAGCTACAAGTGCTGACCTCTGTACATCTCATCGTTCTGAGCTTGGGCACTCTTCTCTGGAAAGGGCCCCGTGCCTGGGCAACTTGGATGCTTTGCCCGAAACACTTCTGGTTTCCCTCAGACACTTGGGTACTGGCCCAATGGCACCAGCCAGCTTCTTGAAGGGTGCAGACATTATCCAGGTGCCAGCCCTCCTCACCCAGAGCAGTGAACCAGGAAACACAGATCGGTGGCCTCATTCTTGACCACCAGTCAGGCCATTTTCATCCTTTTTGGGAACAGTGATCTTATCTGAGGTTCCCTTTGTATAGGGAGAACAAGTCTGGTCAGCATTACTGGTGTGGGAAGATGTGAGTAAGGGTCGAACCAACAAGAGGATCTCGTTCAAGTCAGGACTCACTCACTCTTTATGGCCTACTGTGTGCCAGGCACTAACCTAAGTGCTGAACGAAAAGCCTATCGAAAAACAGCTCTTACTTTCAAACCTGTGATCTCACCTTCACACACTCATCTGATCCCATCACAGTAGGAGGTAGCTCTTACTCTTACCACCATTTGACAGATGAGGAAACTGAATCACAGAGAATTAAGTGTCTTATCCAATATCTATTGCTCAGGACAAAAAAACAAAACCAGGACTGGAGCACGGTTCCACTGATGGATACCACCTACTACAATTTGCTATCCAATTAAACCCCAAATCTAGATGGGTCTGTCCTTCTAGTATCCTCCTTCAAGGAGCTAGAGTTAGCTTCCTTGTTGCTTCAGACAGGTTTCATGATGTCACTGTAATAGCATCCCTGTTGGCTCCCAGCCTCACCCTCCTGTGCATCTTACTGCAGTCGGGATGCAGATCCACAGCTGGGGCAACACCAGCTCCAGTGCACTGGTTCATTAAAGACTGCGAGGACATCTTCTTTGTCTTGTCTCAGCTGACATCTCTGTCTTGGTCTCCCTCCCTGCTTCGAAAGTGCATCCTCATCTGTATGCAAAAGCCCAACATCTGGGACATCCAGCTGTGGGCAAGTCTCCCTGTCACCACCGAGCAGATGATGGATTGCATCCACCCAGCTTTACTCCAAGCCCAACTATCGGAGGCTTGCCTGAATCTTGTCAAGACTCAGGCCTGAAGCCACAAGCCCTGTTGCTGATCCAGAGACCAGCAAACCAACTCCAAAAATCTGGCTTTGTTATGAATTATCCTCATTTGGCAATGCCCCCGGGTGAGCCATTAAGGGTTGAATGCTGAAGATTAAACCACTCTGTTTTGGAGAGGAGCATCTGGTTCATTTGCACGCTTAGCAGCAACGGTGCCAGCCCGCTTCATGGCTGCTGCTCTGCTGGCAGGGACAGCTGGACGTGAGGAGAGGAGGGCCAGGGTGAGGCTGTAACTGCTCAGTCCTCCCGAGCAGCCTCCCTGTTCGGCCCCTAGGCTTCCGCCCACACTGTCGCCACCGCATCTGGGATGCCTTCCCTGCGCCTCGCCACCTGCTGGAATCCTGCCTCCTCTCTCAAGCCTTCAGCTCCCTAAAGGCTCTCCTTCCCCATCACAACACTCTATATCTCCCATTCTCCTTTGCTACTCAGCATCTGCTCCCCCTACTGCCATTTTGTACACAAGATGTACCCAGAGAGTCTTCAGTGCGCCTGAATCTCACGGAGGACTTGCCAAAGTGAGGCAGGAGTCAGCCACAAAGTCCAGCTGGAGCCCAAGACTCCTTCCTCCCTGCTCTATTTTCCTTGATTAACTTGATCTGTGACTCACCTGTCAGTGGAGATGACAGTCCGGTCCCCTGTCCGCCAACCTGGGCTGGGATTTTGGTCTGGATAGACTTCCTTGTTGCACTGTGGTGGTTAAGTGGCGAAAGTGGTTATGTTTTGGCCTGGGTCGGGGGGCCAGCACCTCCCTCCTGCCCCAACTCTACTAAGGCATATATTCCTCTCTCTCTCCTCCAGTTCTGGCAGTGTGGCCAGTGGGTGGAAGTGGAGATTGACGATCACCTACCTGTCCTGAACAATGAGTACTTCTTTGTTAATCCTCGCGACAAACAAGAGTTTTGGCCGAGCCTGCTGGAGAAAGCCTACGCCAAGTAAGGATGGGCCCGTCCCTCTGCCCAGGGCCTGGATGCTGGCCCTGCCTGCCCAGCCACTTGCCCTGACTGACTCTCCCCACCAGCCGGCGCTAAGACTTTTGGCAGCTCTGCTCAATGCAAGCGATGCCCCTGGGAGCTTCAGAGCCTTTGCCACCTCGCTGGGCATCCTCTATAAATAATCACTGTGCACAAGGCTCAGTCGGAGCCAGAGGAGGGACCCAGAGACACATGGCGAGGGGTGGGCAGGGCAGAGCTGGACAGAAATAGGCACTGACAACGGTATTATTGTAAGGGCTGGTGTACGGGCCCCAATAAAATGTAGTATCATGTTCAAAGTCTGCTGAGAGGGGCAGAGGAGAGAGACAGCAGTTCTGACTCACAGAGACTCAGCTGGGACTGCACAGAGGAGGTGGCGTTGAGCGAGGCCTTGAAGGATGGGTAGGATTTCAGAAGAGAGAGAGGAGTTACGAGGCGGGGGAGTGACTTGAGCAGTGACCTGGGCGGGACACTTGGGGACCTGGTGTGGCTACCGTGAGATTGCATTTATGACTGGGGGGCAGGGCAGGAGCTGCTTATTATTATATGGTCCAAACACCATGAGTCAGGGACTACCTTCTGGTGTTAACAAGCTCGAGGACTTACAAACTCCCCAAGTCACCTGTTTCACTTAGACAATTTGGGTTGCTTTTATTCAACAGCTGTGTATGGTGCATTTAATCATAATCCAGGCACTGTGCTGGGCACTGGGAGAGACGCTCGCTCTGGCTCAGGTGGGGTGTGCAAGAGTATGTGTGTGTGTGAGAGGTCGCTGTCATCAAGACCTACACAAGTGACGGACACATCAGAGCTGGAAGCCAATGCTAGGAGACAAAGGTCAGGGGACCACACATTTCAGGAGAAAAATGGATAGTGGAGAGTGTCCTGGAATCAGGTTCCCCAAAGATCTTCCTAACCAATGCCTCATAATGACAAATGGGGAAGCCAAGACTCTGAATAGTGATGTGATGGCAGGTGTAAGCAATTAACCTGAGTCTACTGAGGTTTTTGGTCGTTTGATCAGGTGACATCATTTGGCAAGACTGAAGACCCCGGCCCATCCAATCCTGGGCCTGAGGAGTAGTTACGACCCCACAGACTACCCCAGTCCTTGTCCGTCTGGAGGCACATCTCAAGGGCTCTTTTTGTGCATTCTTTCTTTTGAGCCAGCTTGTGCAAAACTAAAGCTGTTGCTCATTTCCAGTGTCAGGAAGAGCTGGTCGTTAGCATTTGAGAATGAAGCCCAGAAAACAGGCGAGGTGGATGAAGCAATCCATATGTTTGGGGAGGTTAATTCACTTCTAAGCTACTTATGCAAACACTGCCATTATCTTTCCGGGGTGGATTCAGTGCTCACCACTCCAGGGCCTCTTTTTTTTCCTTATTGAAAGGGGGGAGCATGGCAGTTCACTTGGAGAATTAGAGAGCTCGCAGATGAAATGATGACTTTGACCCGATTTTGTTAACAGCTGACCTAAAGCAATCATTCCGCTTGAAAAGAAATGGGAAACTGGACCCAGAATCCACATTCCACTGCCTGAAGAAATCTAGTGCAGGAGAAAATGTTTCAAACTCCAAAGCTATTTAAAAGCTTTCCCCTCCATCCAAAGAGGGGGTTATAGAATGCAGGAGGAAATCAAATAGAATTACAGCACATCAGAGCTAGACGGAGCCTCTGTCAGCATCAAACCCTACCTTCTTTGAAGGATGAGGAAACTGAGGCTCGGGGTGGGGGTGGCAGTGAAATGACTTGTCCAAGATCACACCGTGTTTGAGGCCAAGCCAGGATCAGGTCTGTCCTCCCCAGTCACGTGCTTTTCCATCATTTCTTGATACTGTCAGTCCTAGAGGAAAATGATTTGTCTTTTTGCTTCTTTGGAACTCAGTGTCTGGCAGAGAGGGACCACAGCGCAAGCATAGAGAACCCACCTGTCCAGGTGGAGATGGTCCTCTTTCCCTCCAAGGGTGTAGGCAATACCGAGTGAACATGTGGATCCCAAACTTTCAACCATTCTTGCAGCTGGGGAGTCAGAAATGAATTGGTCAAGTGAGTCAGATGTGGAGGGAAAAAAAATCTTTGTTTGCAGGGTTTTTTTCCCCAGAGGTCATAAAATAGGAGAGTGGGAGACAAGATCTGGTAAGCTGCCTAGCATCCTTTCTGGGATCTCTGTGGCTCAGAATTATAGCCTTTCAGCATCCTTTTTGGATCCCGATTTGAAATCTGAATTCTTCCCCCTCTCACATCATTGCCAGGCATGTAGACATTTCCCCAAAATGAGGCTGAAGCCGAGGGGTGAGGAGAAGGCTCTCTCAGAATTCCTGGGTTCGGGTGACACGCGTAGTGACAGGTGTGGCGAACACAGTCCTCTCCTCTTTCCCTCCCCTTTG